TAAACTAATTTGATACAGAACTCTTTTTTTAACTATCATGATAATGAAACAATAATTTCCCACCCTTGCAATACTCTGATAATATCATTTTTATTTGTCATACTTCAGTAGAAGATGATTGCAAGCATAATTTGCCATGTCATAGATACACAGGAACTATGCAATATTTTGATTATCTTTTCCCTGAATAATGTCATGCAGTACATCAAAATTTCATGTAAATCTCATTTTATCACTTGGATAAATATTAATTATTATTGAGATACCTGCTATATAAAAGTTTGATGTGTTAATAATTCAAAATTAACATTTACAGATTGCATTGGATATTCTAGTCAGACGTTATGTGTGTTTTTAGACTAATTCTGTTCATAATTTACCATTAAATATTAAATTAAAGTCGTTGTTAGTTTTAAAAATGGGACAAACTCACAGGAACTGAGTGACTTGTTAATTACAGTTTAAATCTTGGGTAACTAGAACCATATGCAGGTTTAAATCTTAGAAATACACAGGAACCAAGTGATTTGTTATTTAAAACCGTTTAAATATTAGGTGAACAAAAGCTTCAGCACAAATAAATCTTCCAAACACACAAGCACTGAGTGATTTGTTATTCAAAACAATTTATATCTTGGGTGAACAAAAAAATCTCCATGTTTAAATTTTGCAAACTCACAGGAACCGAGTGTTGTGTTACTTAATACAATTTAAATCTTAGGTGAACAAAAGCATCAGGACCTTTAAATTTTGCAAACACACAGGAACCAAGTGATATGTTATTTGAAGCAGTTTAAAATCTTGGGTGAACAGAAGCATAAGCAGGTTTATTTAATTAACAATGGCAATTACATGACATATTTATCTGATTTTGATAGGTAAGTACAAGACAATTTCAAATTAGAGTTCTGTGGTCTTTGAAAGTTATATCATTTTAAGATCACTATTTGATTTTTATTCTGCATCTGTTTTTTTTTTTTGTTTTTTTTAAGAAATTTTAATAAAGAAGTAACACATACAGAGAACCAGGAAAATAATACAATGAAGCAAATATTTACAATGTTTATTCTACAAAATGTGTACTATTATTCATAGATATCTTTATATACAAACATTCATTCTTGTTATATCAGTGTAAAATCTAGAAACTGATAATTATCAAGATGGTTTCAACAGATAAAGGGAAGAGAATCAAAAATGTTCAAGTAATAAAATGATAAATATAATTTCACAAGTAATTTCTTTTCTGAATGACATGCATGGATTAACATCATACAAACAGTAAGTAACCCCATAATTCTGACTTTTTTAATTAAGTACATTTATAATCATCTATGTATATAATTTCTTTTATCATTATTTTTTCTGATTTTTCTTCCAGGTCTCCATTTATGAGAAAAAAGATTTGGCAACTATTACAACAACAGCAGAACACCAGAGCAGACTGTACTCGAGACTCCTAGTCCCTTTCCTGATCTGTTAACTACTATGTATCTTGAAATGAAATTATTCTCTTGAATCTTTTCTTCTTTTCTTTTTTTGTGGATGTAACTGAGAACATGATTTATACTCTATATATGGTTTACATATTTTTTTTTTAACTTTTGGGACAGTCATTTCATAACTGCATTTATCTCTATTTTGCTTTGTTTTTAGAGAGATGTTTTTCTCTCAACTTTTCTTGGTTAAGTGTAACATATTTTCAATTTTTATATACCATAGATTTTTTTTCCTACAGAGTATTTTTTTTTTTTTTATCTGTTGAAAACCTCTTTTGAATTTAATAAATAAAGGTGAAAACTTAGCTTTTAACATTCACTGAAAAAGAAAAGTCAAATGCAAATGACCAGTGATACATTAAAATAAACAAAAAAAAATCTAGCACCAAAATGTGTTAATGGTCCACTCATATTCAATCAATTTCAACACATTAAAATGACTAACAATTTGTTTTTGCTTTTTCAAACCTAATTCTTACTTGACACTATCCATAATTGTGGTTGTCATTTTCCTTACATCTTCACTAAAATCCACTGCTCTCTGATAAAAAGTGTACTATAGATTTGCAAATTTGTACAAGACAACCAAACAGGCAGATGTGATGAGTGAAGGACAGGCAAGATTTGGGAGGAAACATGAGAGATTAATTCTCTGCTAGGAATTATCACAAATTGTACAACTCACACATTACAAGTGTCAAGTTGGTAGAACATCTTTGTGTACTAATGCCACTGATTTAGACGGAAAGGGAACATCATTTCAGACGAAGTGTCAATATATATATATACATATACATACATAAATATACATATACATACATAAATATACATATTCATACATATATATGCATATTCATACATATATAAACATATATACACATATATACATACATATATATATATAAATATATACATATATTTATGTATATACAATTTCATATATATATATAAATATATATATATATATATATATATATATATATATATATATATATATATATATATATATATATATATATATATATATATATATATGTATGTATGTATGTATGTATATGTATATGTATATATATATGTACATATGTATATATATATATATATATATATATATGTACATATGTATATGTATATATATATATATATATATATATATATATATATATATATATATATATATATATATATATATATATATATATATATATATATATATAAGAGAAGAGAACAAAAATATAATGCACTAGCAATTAAAGCACATAAAGAAGATGCCCCTCATTAAGAAAATGACCTTGATAACTAGGTACAAAAAAAGATACTCATGACCTACCATTAGAAAAAAAGAGTATATGAAAGGCTTATTTCAACAGGTGCAAAACAATCTATGTTTCTAGAGGTGAAAGTTGATATTAATATGTTCTGAACACTAATAATACTTTGTATTATAATAATTACTCCTATGCTCTTACAGTTTCATAATATTCAAAGAAAAATATAATGTTTATTATAGATTTGTTGATTGAATTTTCCTCATATATCACATACTATAGCATGCTGTCTCTAAGACAATATATATAGGTGAATGGCAGATCCTATACTGTGTTTCAAAAATCTTGCACTGTATCTCCTAAGATAAAGTTCTACATAAGGCTTTTTGTCAGTATATATCTAACCAATAGCAGGCATCAATTTAACCTGTGCTGGATCCACCATATCTAACAGTGTAGCACCTTTCACAATGCATATTAAAATAAGACTGAGAACTATTATTTGTGGAAACATCTGTCCTAGACACTAATGATACTTTCTGTATGAAAATCAAGACATAGTGAGTGCTATGTTTCAAAACACCATGTGGACAAAGGTGGTGTGTGTATATATATGTATCAAGCATAACACGACCAGCTGTAATATACTCATGCAATGTTACTGACAACTTATAACACTACAGTGAAAGGGTTGGAAAATAATGAATGTGGTCATATACAGTGAACATTATGGTGTCATGACACATGGACATATACAATGAAACATAATTATGTGGCCAAGAAAATAATGTGTAATATGAACACAGTATAGTGCATTGTGGACGTCATGAGTACCTGGTCGTGACTTTTAAAAATTTGCAAGAAAATACGCATCTTTATTTCCCTCTTGTATTTTTATTATCTTTATTTAAAGTTTTATTTAATTCTACCTTGGAAGCAGTGACAAGACTTTTGAGAATTCCTGAGTAAGCCTTTTAATAAGATGGATATCTGTTAGTCACTGCAAATATATTGTTACAAAATATTTAAAAATCACGACCAAGTAAGATTACTTACACACTAAACACATACTCGTCTACTGCTACTGCATGTACACTAATAGCTAAATAAATAGATAAAAGCATCACTAATTCATATTGATTGTAAATCATACTAATGCAAACACAGATCAACCACAGAACAACAACTCATACTGTTAACACAAAACAAACCTTAGGTACTGTTGCGTACCATTAAGAGTAACTTTCCTTGATTAAAATCATTCTTGTATAGAGATAGACACTGTTCACTTACAGAGAATTCTTTTAAATCAAGAACAGACACATAGTCCATATGCAAAAGACTACATAAAATATAAGTATACTTTAATTAAAGCATATATGACACTGAGAATAAAGGCACATCTAAAAATAATACTATAACCTCAGTTTAAATTTATCACCCAAACTTTACATTGCCTTGAAAGTAAACTTGGCAGAGAAAAAAAAAAACACTGGAATGAAATGGGGATTACCAGACAGTACACTAAATGTCACTGTCTCTTTCCACGGGTTTGTCAACCATGTCTGAGAAGTTGCTGCGGTTATTTGGCTTCAGACTGAAGTCACAAATGAGGGAGAAGTGGTCAGAGGGGTAGGCCAGACTGGGAGCACGACCAGGCCCAAGGTCCTTTTCAGTTGGCACGTCAATGCCACCCTCAGGAGTCAGGCTGTTGGGCGTGTAGAAGATGTAGTCAATGTTGTGGCAAATGTCACCTTCCTCACGCACTTTCCAGGTGGAGTAGGCAGGTTCTTTTCCCTCATTGAGGAAGGCATATGCAGACTTGAGGCCGGTGGATTCATGCGTCATTGTCGAATACACTGGCTCTGTTGGCTCAGCATTGAAGTCTCCACTGACGATCGTCGGCCTATTACCACAGTGTAGGTCCATGAAGCCCAGCAGATCTTTGCCTTGTTCATCCCGCAGGGTGGACAAGAGAGCTCCTTGGCGGGCCTTCAGGTGAGTGGTCAAGACAGCTATTTCCCTTCCTGTTGTCTCATCCTCTAAGATCAGTAATATGGCCACCTAAAGACAGACATTTTTTAGAGATGGGGTTTACTATACTTCTGAAAAATATTGCTAGTCTTGTGTCATGTCAAATACATGCCTAATTATAAACCTATGAGGAATACAGTTTGTATGAATGATTTTTCTTTCCTAAGAATTTTTAGAGTTTTTAAACAATAAATATCAGCAAGCAAGATTTTCTCCAGTCTTTCACTCTGTTTTGTTGCTCGTACTGTCAAGTCCTTATCCTGTGTCTTTGAAAATTGTTTATTTTCCTATTTCATTGACCAAATGAATATGATCTGCACATTTTAGCTTGAAATATTTATGTATCTAACGCTATGTATTTTGTCCACAAGTTTTTGTAAGTGTGTATTTGCCATTCGGTCTGTCTGCTTATTTATATAGCCATTCTGTTTGTCAGTCTAATGGAGTTGAATACTAATCCTACTGAAAGACAGTTGATATATGAAGAAAGAAAGAGATACTGAAGAAATCTGGAAAGACTATGGAATATATATTAATTAAGGGGACTGTCTCTTTTTATAAGCAAGAGGAGTGCACTATTTACTATTCATTCTCCAATGCAGTTCTCCCCATCTAATTTCTAGACTAATCAGACCATTTGAAAAAAGAAGGCTTAAAAAAAAAAAAAAAAAAAAAACTTTTATCACTTTTTTTTGTATGACACTGGTGGAGCAAGAGATTTCAGATAGAGAGGAATATGGATAAATTGATATTTGTATTATTAGTTCTTTCGTTTTCTCATTGTTGACATGGAGTTAAAATCTTTGTTTACAGAAACAAGCTGACAGATCTTCTGCATACAATGTTGCCAGACTACACACATAGAAAAATGATCTGTTGCTTTGAGAAAACCATTCTCTCTCTCTCTCTCTCTTTTCTTTCCCACAAACATTTAATTCTTTATTGAAATATTCATCTTCCTATGGCCTTTCATACTTGAAATCCATGTATCAGCTTATAATTCTGAAACTTTTTTTTGCCATTTTTATCCTGATTTGCTGAATGTTCTCATTACTGCTTCAGCCTAGGACTAACCAAAAACAAAACCTTTCCAGCAGTGATTCTAAAAGTAATTACAAGGCAAATCACTGGGTAAGTTTTTTTTTTGCAGATATACCTCTCTATTCTAACCATTTACTTTTAAAATGTCTCAATTTACAGGCTCTTTTCTGTCATCTTTTTCAAATATAGTTTTCAAGCAAGAAATCATTCCTGCACAGACTTAGAAACATAGACAGTGAATAATGAAAGTGAGTCTGTGAGCCAATGAGATTTTTAGATAAACCAATAACTGTTGCTTGTGTATTATTTGCACATTTTTTTTTTGTCTTGTTTTGTTGTTATACTCATAATATTCAAAGGGAATATTCTTTCAGTTCATTAACACAGTTATACGCATTAGTTCCCATACTCTCTTGTACTGCTTTATAGCATGGTTTCAGGCTAATATTCAGGCTAAGTTTCTTTTATCCCAAAAACTCACAATTAGTTTGTTTGTGATTTTTGTCCTTTAGAGATGAGACAGTCCTCTTAAATAATATACAAGTGCATAAAGATGGACAATCCTATGAAAGACTAATATTAAATTGAATAAATTAGACCCACATCCTCTATGGCAGCTCCTTGTACTAGAAAATAAGTCTGAATAAAAAAAACAAAGAAAAATTAAGACAATGCTGGGTCACTGAAAATGATTCAACACACTAAGCTATGCTGATATTTGCAACACTACCTGCTACGTGTAAACAGCACCTCAGGTAATTTCATCCTTGACTAATAATCCGAAATAACCAGATTACTTTCTCGGAAAAGGACAAAAATTTTCTCCCATATCCAATCCGAGATACCCTGGGCTTTAGACATTTAGCTTCTAAAAAAACTGAGAAAAGTTATAAGTAATCTGAAAACCATAAAAGACATCATTCAAACATCATCTGCAATACTGTGTAGAATTTCAAAAGTTATTTCTTAAAAGCATGTTTTCCCCTTTGAGATGAAAAAGCTTTTCAGAGACTGAATAGGTTTATAATCTCATATTACAGCTCAAAATACTGAATATCATGATGAATGACACACTAATATGGAACAAGCCATTTGGGTTGTGCATCATACGTCTCCATTTTATTTTTTTATACTATTACTCAATCTTCTGCCTTGATCTTTCTTTATTGAGTCTCTGCAAACCTTTTATTGGATGTGGTAATTATGTAAAGTGTTTTTTTCTAGAAAAGTGAAAACAGGCTATTGATACTGGCAAAAGACCACAATCTGAATGAAGATATGTATATACAGAGAAATCAAGATCAAAAAGGAAAGGAAAAAAGTGTATTAGAAGACAAAAGAAGTTGGCTAATGCTAATATATAATATGAATGGCAAAAAGAAACATTAAAATAATTTATAACTGAATAAACAGGTACCAGCATCTTTAAACATTGAAATTTTCCATTCTTACACTAAAAACAAAAATAAAACAAGTAAATATAGATTGACTACCACACACATCCACAACCACACACTCACAAGCACCAATAATCAATCAAACAACTGAACACATCCACACATACACACAAGCAGCCACTTACACACAAAAACAAAGATAAGAGCACAGCAACATATACTTATCTGTTTGAAATAAATATGGCATTAAAATGAAAAAAAAATTGAACATTTTATACATAAAAAAAATGTATATATATATGTATATATGTATGTATGTATATATAATATATATATATATATATATATATATATATATATATATATATATATATATATATATATATATATATATATATATATTCATATGCTACTTTATTTGAATATATATTTCCAAGATTTATTCAGGCCAAAATTTAATCAAGTTACTTGAAATAAATATCAAATCAAATAAAGCAAACTTGAATAATATTCATATTCAGAAAATTATATTTACAAAATCACTGCAATTTAAAAAATAGAGGAAATTTTTTTAAAGATATTATCCCTAATGTTTTATTTTTATTACAGTAACTATTAGTAAAACCATAGTTAGAAATAAATAATGCAATTTGTATCATTAATAACTTTGCTATTATATATGCAGTCTTTTAAAACTGTGAGAAATGCAATTGACAATGCAATTAATATATTAGTTTCATGCTAATCATAACTAACTAAACCTTTCTATTTCAATTACCATTTTATAAATAATCATTATATTTACTTTATATCATCCTGCAATTAATATTCAAATTACCATCAATACATGTATTAAATTTCCATGTTAATTGAAATACAATGTTAGTTTGAAGCATTGCAGTTTTAGTCACTATGCACATTGAGCCTTTTCTGTCATGTCATGCTCTTCTCTCTCTCTCTCTCTCTCTCTCTCTCTCTCTCTCTCTCTCTCTCTCTCTCTCTCTCTCTCTCTCTCTCTCTCTCTCTCTCTCTCTCTCTCTCTCTCTCTCTCTCCTACTGCAGAATAATATACCAAGTTATAAGAACACGCACACACTAAAAAAGTTTTAATCACTATCTACAAACATGCAATGCAATCCAAACACTCTCAGCTAAGAACAAATCAAAGAAGAAATATAAAACAAATAAATGAATATATAAACAGAAATAAATAAAGAAACAAACAAATAGATAAATAATGAAACAAACAAATAAAGAAACAAACAAATAAATAAACAAACAAACAAATAAATAAAGAAACAAACAAACAAATAAATAATGAAACAATCAAACAAATAGATAAATAAAGAAACAAACAAACAAATAAATAATGAAACAATCAAACAAATAGATAAATAAAGAAGCAAACAAAAAAAATAGACAGACAAATAATGAAAACAAATCGACATATAAATAAAATAGCCCCTCCCCCCCGCACGCACCTGGTTGCTCTGCACGTGCCACACCTCGACGACGCGCGTCTCCTTGGCCACGAGCGAGAACCGCGCCGTGTCCCAGAACAGCGCGCAGCCGTCGGGGCCGTTGTTGCTGGGCAGGTAGAGGCACGGCGACTCGGGCTTGGGCATGAACACTCCCTTGTAGCCCTGGGTGGCCAACACGCGCTCCAGCAGGTCGTAGTGGTCTACTTCCTGTAAAAGGGGGGAGGTGAGAGGAGGTGGTGGTGGTGGTAATCGTGGGAGGCAAGAATTAGTTTAGTTTTGCTTTTTAAGGATGTTGTGTGTTTTGTTATTTTCGTTAATTATTGGTAATGTGATTGTGTGTGTGTGTGTGTGTGTGTGTGTGTGTGTGTGTGTGTGTGTGTGTGTGTGTGTGTGTGTGTGTGTGTGTGTGTGTGTGTGTGTGTGTGTGTGTGTGTGTGTGTTTGCTATTACTGACTACTGGTATGATCTCTCTACTTCAGTAATCTCTATACTTCTTTACATTACTTCAGATTTCTTTACATTTTACTTTAACATTAAAGTTACATAGATTTTTAGATCTCAAAGTTCATCAAAGAAAAAGTTTAAAAGTCACCGATACGGAAATACAATCACACATTTGGTCCGTGTGTATAACGAACTTAATGATATTAAAAGTCAACCTTCTCAGGTCTAAATTACCTTTAAAAATCACAAAAAAATAATTCATATATTGCAGCCTAAGATCATAGAGACTAGTAATAATAAATATGAATAGATCTCTCCGTCCACTAATCATGTTTGTTTTTTTTATTCACTTCTCGCTATCTGTTAATAATGATTTAAAATCACTTCTGCATTTCTTTACAACGTTCGGTATGAATTGTCAGCACAAAATATAATAATAAATAAATAAATAACAAACGATAAGAGAAAAATGGGAAAGATATAAAAAGAGGAAAAACAATATCATAAGTCTTACGAAAGAGACAGAATTCCAAGACCCGAGGAAGGTAAAGAAAAAAGAAAAGAAAACGAAATAAAAAAGAAAACATACACCATGAAAAAAAACACAACAAAACAAACAAACAAACAAAACGTACACGAAGAAGAAAACGAAGACACGGAAAGAAAACACAAAAGGAGAAGAAAACGGGAAACACTTCCCTCCAAACAAGAACTAACCTGGAGACAGATGATGTGGGGGTTGTACGTGATTATTTCCTCCAAGATGCGGAACCGTCTTGTGTTCCACTCAAGGGCTTCCGAAGGACACTTGACGAAGTTGTCGGCGTGGGTCCCGAGAG